ATTTAGGTTAGGTAATGAGGCTTTACCTCTGATCAAAAAGATTTGAATAACATTCCGGCGGCTTGCATCTTACAGCTGTGATGTTATAATAACTCAGAATTGTAAAAAAATAAAAATAATTGATCTCTGAAAGACAATTAAAATAAAGTTATCCTTTTTTTTTTAAATATTTATATTTTACCGTCTTCTACCACGTGTGGTTTTTTTTTTTATAAAGATAATGGAATATTTCCCTGATTAAGTACCGGAAGACATAAGTTTTTAATAATAATATGTAGTAACACCTACATCATTTTGAAACAGACTATAACCATCCCTTGAACTTTAAGAGGTTGTATTTGTCTGCCCATGGTGACATATATCCGCACTAACAATCCAAAGTTGTTTTATTCTAAATTTGGGGGGAAATGTAAAATTAAACCAAATGTAAATATAAGCACCTTCTATGAATATTTTTTAAATATTGCTGGAAGTATGGGAGTTACCTCACCTGATAATGAAACTAATGAGATCTTTGATATTAATGAAAATGATATCATTTTTGAAGAATTAGAAGTCCAGATATCTACAAGAGAAATATAATTAGCTATCTCCAAGTTAAAAAAGGGTAAAAGCCATGGCTCGGATAGGTTATTGAATGAGTATTTTATTGAATTTAAAGATGTACTTATTCTATTGTTTTGTCCATTGTTTAATGCGATGCTGAAGTTGGGTCATGTCCCAAATATTCTGTCGAATGCTCTTATTGTACCTATTTAATGTATAAAAAGGGTAGTACCTCTGATCCAGGTAACTTCAGAGGCATAAGCCTCCCCAGCAATTTACTGAAACTGTTTACATCCATACTGAACACCCGATTATCAAACTGGGCCTCGGCTAATGACGTCATATCTGATGATCAGTTCGGTTTTAGACCTAATCTGGGCACAGTTAATGCAATTTTTGCTTTACGATCAATTATTGAGAAAAGTTTTAATGTAAAAAATATATATATTGTTTCGTTGATTATAAAAAAGCCTTCGACTCTACCGTATCTGGATCGTGAGAAGAAGAATTTTGAAATTTCAGTCAATTCGACCCGTTTTGGCCCCACCCATCAGCCCCGGGGGGTCAGTCAGGGCTGATATGTGCATACGATCAAACTGCTATCCAATACTGATAATGCTAACCCAAATTGAATTACTTTCAATGGCAATTAAACAAATGTTAATCCAAAATGTGATTTCCCTATGTAAACTGAAGTAAAGTTTACCCCCTCCCCAGGGGGAAACGTGAGACCCCAGGGTCATGAAATTCACAAATTTGGTAAAGCACCTTAAGACCCTTCCCTCTATGAAGAGTATTTGAATCTACCATATCTGGGTCTTGAGAAGAAGATTTTTGAAATTTCAGTCAATTCAACCCTTTTTGGCCCCACCCATCAGCCCATGGGGGTCAGTCAGGGCTGATATGTGCATACTATCAAACTGCTACCCAATACTGATAATGCTAACCTAAAATGAATTACTTCCAATGGCAATTAAACAAAAGTTGGTCCAAAATGAGATTTCCCTATATAAACTATAGTAAAGTTTACCCCCTATCCAGGGGGAAACGTGAAACCCCAGGGTCAAGAAATTCACAATTTTAGTAAAGCACCTTAAGCCCGTTCTAGTCAATTCAGTCAATTCGACCCTTTTTGGCCCCGCCCATCAGGCCCCTGGGGGCTGGGGACCATATAATTCACAATTTTAGTTGACCTTTGGCCATAGAAGGTTTCTGCAAAATTTCATTGAAATTGGTTCAGGGGTTTTGGAGAAGAAGTCGAAAATGTAAATTGTTTATGGACGCATGACGGACGACGGACGACGACGGTCAAAAGGCGATAGCAATAGGTCACTTGAGACTTTGTCTCAGGTGACCTAAAAATGGAATTGTCAATGTTAGGTATGGGAGAAATATGACAAAATCAGCAAAATATTGATTTAAAATATGTTCTGCCTTTAGTCAAACGAAGCTTGCATGATACATTTCAGCAAAATTTGTTCACTATTTTTTCAACTTCTTCAAAGTGTAACCTGTACCAATACCTTGTAGACTATATATGCCTGAAGCGTTATTGATCAAAGCCAATTTTATTGAAATTCAAGAAAGTAATTTGTAGTTTTCGTTTGTCTGCGCACTGTTTAACAATTGAAACAGGAAGATACAATAAGCAGTCTGTTTCTAACCGTATATGCCCACTATGTACTACTGAGGTAGAAGATGAATATCATTGTGTTTTTATTTGTAAAGAATATGATTTCCTCCGACAAAAACTATTTAAACCTTATTACCGATGCAAGCCATCCATGTATAAACTTTTGAAATTACTTAGTACAGAAAATGTTACAGAACTGTATAATTTGGGATTTTTTGTGTGTAAAGCTTTTGAAATTAGGTCACACCTCTTATCTGTGAAATGAGTGAATATACCTATTAGTGTATGGCTTGAACTTGACATTGTATGACATTGTATTGTGCATAATACATGTAATGTAATATCAATAAGCTGTATTGCTTCAGATAATAAAATAATTGAATAATATAATTATGCCTAAGGGAGTTGCCCAAACAAAGGGGTCCACTACTTTTTTTTAAACAATAGGGGATTAACCTCCATTGTCTATATATTAGTAGGGTCTGCACCCTTCAGGTCAGTGGTCAAGGCTCACCAGACTGACTCTACCTAATCTAATGTCACGGTGTGGTGATCACCCTGTCAGTTGGGAGAGGACTATATATATTGAAAGTATAAAGCCTGCACTAGACCAAGTATAACTATAATGTTATGCGACAGATGCAGCCTATAGATGCTGTTGTATACGACGGTAGTCCCTACTACGCAGAAACCATATCAAATCCCTTAACTATAATAACCGCGTAGTCGACTCATATGAAACCGTGTACTCTCTTTTTTATTTGAAGAATTATACTAAACTGTTTCAGGTACTGCCGAGCGTAGAGAAGCAGGACGTTATCGGACATTATTTCCATTGACAAACAGACTTAACAGCGCGCGAAGTGATATAATTGAAAAGACAGGTTCTTTTAGACTTGCACAAGTTTCAACCTTTCAAAAGTTGTGCACCGGCACGGTTTCTCGACCCCATGGGACCCTATACCCAAAAATTGTCAAAATTGAGATTTTGTTCAAATTCAAAGTTCCTGGTCCTAGCTCGAGCTGAATTTCTGTTTTCAATCTTAATGAAACTCGGCGTGGATACCGTCATTGACACCCCCTGTACGTGCAACATGTCAAAAGTTGTGCACCGGCATCCATTTTCTAGCATTTTTCTGTAAAATTTTGAATAACGAATAACGAATAACTGTCCAACTTTACCTTGCCCACATGTTCACTAAATTTGAGTTGTTTGTCGAACGTCACTCCGAGGTCTCTCTCCTTGTCTGTTCGTTTGTGAAGTTGTAATGGCTATTGCTGGATGTATTACCAATTTCTAAGTGTTTGCATTTCTCTAAATTTAATTTCATGAGCATAAATATATTTAAAACATTTTTAGCTCACCTACCCGAAGGGCAGCTGAGCTTATGCCATGGCGCGGCGTCCGTCCTCCGTCCGTCCGTCGTCCGTCGTCTGTCGTCCGTCGTCCGTCGTCCGTCAACTTTCCTTTAAACGACTTCTTCTGAAGAACCAGAAGGCATTAAGTCATGATATTTGTCTGGTAGCTTCCTTATATGGAGCCTGACAAAGTTAGCGAATAAAAATGGCCTTGACCTACTTTCAAGGTCACAGGGGTGAAATATGTCAAATGCTTCAAACGCCTTATTCTGAAGAACTGAACGGTATAGAATCTTTATATTTGATTGATGGCTTCCTGGGATAGAGCCCGACAAAGTTTGAGAATGAAAATGACCTTGACCTACTTTTAAGGTCACATGAGGCAGATATTTCAAACACTTCAAACGACTTCTCCTGAAGAACTGGAAGGTATAGAACCCTAATATTTGGTTTGTAGCTTCCTGGGAAAGAGCCCGACCAAATTTGAAAACGAAAAAGACCTTGACTTACTTTCAAGGTCACAGGAGTCGGATATGTCTAATGCTTAAAACGACTTCATTAGTAAGAACTGAAAGTTATAGAACCTAAATATTTGGCTGGTGACTTCCTGGGAAAGAGCCCAACAAAGTTTGAGAATGAAAATGACCTTGACTTACTTTCAAGGTCACAGCGTTCAAATATATGTCAAACGGTTCAAACTACTTATGGTGAAGAATTAAAAGGCATAACTTTATAATATTTGGCTGGTGACTTCCTGGGATAGAGCTCACCAAAGTTTGCGAATGAAAATGACCTCAACCTACTTTAGAGGTCACAGAGGTCAACAACATTTTAAAGGATTTGTTCTTAAGAACTAAAAGAAACGGATTCATTAGATTTGGCTGGTAGCTTTTTGGAATAGAGCTAACCGATTTGAGAAGGAAAATTACATTGACCTACTTACAAGGTCACAGGAAAAAATATGTCAAGCAACTTCTGAAGGAGAATCAAAAAGCATGAAATCTTATAATAATATTTTGCTGGTAGTTTCAACAGACGGAGCCAACAAAGTTTGCGAGGGAAATATTTTTAGTGAAATATAATATTGAATGAGAATATTTTGCTATCACTGCTTAAATATTCAGGTGAGCGATACAGGCCCTCTTGGCCATCTTGTTATAATTATAGAATAAACGTTTTAAATCGGGATCAAACCAAGGTTTGTCCTCGCACACGTGTGTGTTCCTCTGTTTGTTTGGTCACACCCCATTGCACTAGCGGTATTTTTATCCGCGCGCGAGTTAGCACGCGCAATCAAGCGTCGGTAAAACGACAGACACAGGTCTCAATTCAAGCCAGTTCCGACACTAGTCTCCGCCCTTAAGGGTTTCATCTCACTGACGGAAGTCGGTGTTCTGCGTGGTCTTAACGGGTCTTAAGCGCTTGACTGCCCAATATACACGCAGTTGTCAGGAGTCGTTTTTACAGTTCACACTACCTGGACAGTCTCGGGTGGACATTGGTCACTCTGTTGGACAGTGCCGTACGGAACAAACGAAAGCTCGATACAGACGGAGGGAAATCGGCAGGACCGGTCTACCACGTCAAAGGTAATTGTTTTGTTACAAAATTTACACATTTGCGTTATTGTTGCACAAAGATAGCTCTATTGATAAAAAGAATATTTTCATAAAAAAATATGTTATAACGAACTGAATGTCATACTTTTTCGAGATATTCAAGTTTCTATATCGAAGCAATGGTGGATTCAGCACAGGATTTCAGGCAACTAAGTAAACCATTTTTTCAATATTCATTCTCCTCATTAAGCCATACAAAACTTAGTTCCTTTTTTTTATCAGGGCGGATCCAGATATTGCACAAAATTAAGTTAAATACCGGTCTTGGTCCTTTAATTTTTCAATGGTATATATATCTAAATTTTTCTTGATTTTTTTTTCTCTTGTTAATTAGTAAAATGCCCGAGCGGAATGAATAATTAATGTATTAATTTAATTTAGATAAATCAACATTATTTGTGTTTGTTTGCTAGTAAATACGCTACTCTCATTACCTGCTAGTTTATCATGCAAGAAAAATTATCGGAATAGACTTTCTAAATATTAATTGAAAAAAGTCTAATTGCCAACACGATTAGTGCTTCTGTCAGTGGGCAGGAAATGATCATCTTCTAGTAGAGTAGCTCATATATTTATAAAGAAAACTGAAGTGCAATATGTATTTAATTTTGGCGTTAAAAAGATAAAGTTGCATGTATGATGAACGCTACCAATCACTGGATCAAATGCTTATTTACATCCATGTTTTGAAAGTGCTTACGTCCAATGTTTCTCACAATGTTTCCTGATTTTAAAGCATTCGAACGTAATGTCAATTGTCCTTCACCTGTGGCTACTACGGACTACCGACCATACAGGTAAAAGTAAAGGCTTTACCGTGGTTCGCTGACCCATTTAATTGTATTATATATTAGTGTCAACACCGACTTTGAACATGTTGGAGCGTGGGAGTGGGGTTAATATAAACTTTATTTATTTTATAACAATTATTCAATTCAATTCAATTCTTTTTATTCTGTAAGCCATTTCAGCTTATAAGACAAATTACATTATACAATACAGTTATTATATAACAATTACATACCTAGCATTCATGTAATTGTACGTGTACATGTAATAAGGAGAGTAATACATGCCAGACTTATATATATATATAAGACTATGATACTCGAGAACGTTGCTTAAATGCGAAATTTATGAATTTTTCTAGATTGTTTAGTTCTTTAACATTATTTACACTAAGTAATTGCATAAGTTTTAACACACTTGGTTTGCGATAATAGTATGGCTTTTAGTATTTAGAGCGTATGTTGCAATAAAATGGACACTTCAAAATAAAGTAAAATTCGTCCTCTATATCATTGAGATCACATAATTCACATACCCTTTCGGTCCTAGCAGTATTCGTACATCTCCCACTTTCTCATCGTAAAGTGCCTTATTGTCATAGCCACTTAATGTTTAAAAATGTGCTAAAAACTCGTTAATACCAATATTCGATCGAGTGCTAGTACTGCCACTCATAGAGAAATATTTCTTAGGGTTAGACTTTCTAAGATACTCCACCATATCACCTTCTTGGCGTAAATATTGTCTCTTAAGTCTATATCCCATTTTTTGTACGATTTTTTTCTTCCTTAGTAAGATTACATGATTATCAGCGGAATTGTTAATATTGAATTCAAATAAGGCAGTCTTGTACTCCATATATATATTCTTACATTCGTCATCAAACCACGGTTTGTCGTCTTTCTTTGGCTTATTATTATATTTCCTATTGCAATTCGTAACGTTCAAATCACAATTAGGTAACACAACATCATCTATATCATCTATATCATGTTTCGTATAAACAGGCATATCACACGTGCTCATTAGATCCGTGACTATTTCATTTAGGCCAGTTGATACAATATCAACATTATTACGGTTCCATTTGACTGTTTTTGAAACATTTCTTGTACTTGGCGTTTTATCTTCATCATTCACATTTAGGGAACTACAATCAAGAGTAAAAGACAATGGTGCATGATCAGATAGGGTATTGAATTTTCCCTACGAAAAGTTTTTAACGTTTGACATATATCCACCGTCCACAAGTAAATAGTCTATAAGACTAGTCCCAATGTTGTTCAAAAATGTAAAGCTTCCATTTAAGTCGCCTGCATGGCGACCATTTACTATACGTAGACTGGTCGTTTTGCATAATGTTAATAATCGCCTCCCGTATGAATTTACATGTTTGTCCATATTACTACGAGTTTATATTGCTGTATCATTATTATAATCTCAACATTAAATTGATGGCACCGCTGGGAAGCAAAACTTGGCAAAAAACGTATACAATATAATACTCAACCCATCTGAACTTCAAAGGAAGGTTCGTTTCTGTCGTAGACGACTGCATGACATCTTGCCTGGGCGGCGCCATCTTGACATGACAACTTATATTAATCACTCTTGTTGGCCCGGTTGTTAGCGCGTGGGGGATCTTATTATGGGAGAAACCGGAGTACCCGGAGAAAACCCATGTGTTCGGGCAGGTGACCCCAACCTTTTCACGTCCAATCGAGGAATCGAACCCCGGCCGCCTTGGTGAAAGGCAAGTGCGCTATCCACTGCACCACCCGACCACCCTGGAGTGGGGTTAGGTGGGGTGGTGAGTGAGTTGGACAGTGTAATACACAACTAGATTCACGGGTCAAGAATTAAAAAGTCATTGAATATTCAGTTCACTCGATAGATGCAGATATATATATATATATATATATGGGGCAAAGAAGTAATTCCAACAGTGTGGACAAGTTATATATATATATATGTGCACTAAAAGTAAAGGATACATTAAGTCAATGGCAGGGGAGTGTCACGTGCACTGGTGACACCCCCTCGGGTCCGCCTCTGTTTATTTTAACGATTATCAAAATATTAAATGCGTATTTCTAACTAAACTACACATTCTTACATCCATTCCGTCAGAGACGTATATATCACATCTACAGAATTGTAGATGATTACCCAAAGGAGATCATCTCATCATTTTAAGCATTATGTGAAAATAGATGACATCATAAACTATTTTTCTTCAATTCAAAACGTTCTAATAAAAATAAACGTCTCTGTTTTAGTTTAGTTTAAACATATTTTATTGACATATAATATGACAATAGGATAAGTCAGTAGTTTCTGATTCCGTGAAGGTATTTTTTCTTACTGTATTATGACATAGGAAAAATAAATGATTACATAACTAGGACTTCATATAAGCCTGTATTTGAAAATCATTCATCCTATTATTTTAATAAAGAATGGGTGATCGGATGGCGCAGTGGATAGCGTACTCGCCTTTCATCAAAGCGGTTTGGGTTTGACTCACCGATCAGACCCACCACGCGGGCTTTCTCCGAAAAGTCAGGTTCCCCTCCCTTGACTCTAATATTCGGATCAACAAAAGTGATTGATTCCACAATTTAGACACTTTTCTATGAATCAATCAATCAATCAATCAATCAAAACAGGCATTTTATTGAAGTATTGCGTTCACATGGAGAAATGTATAGATAAATCATAATGTATACACAACCTGATTTTTTTAATGCGGTGCCCAGCCTAACTCTGGTTATAAGACACCAACAGTGTTGCGAACAACAGATTGGCGTCAATACTATTTTTTTAATGATTTTTTTTCAAGGAATACATATTCTTCGATTAATGTCACATTGAAGAAAATACCTTATACTCGTTATGAATAATATTACTGTATAATGTACAGTAATCACAGGAAAAGATAATTATTCACATGGTATAACCAGACACGTTTATTAGATAAAAAAAACGACGTTTATTTTAACCGCAGGGTAAAGAGTTGTGGTCAAAAAAGAGGACTCGTATGTTCAGTATTGTTTTGCCATAAGAGGCAGTACACAGTTCTGGTCAGTAAAAGTAGTATTTCGTTACATTACACTAGTAAGAGATTTATTTCTAGAGCTTAAGCTGATCAGATTATGATTTAAATTTCAGGCTACTTAGCATACATTTCCTTTTAAATCAGTACATGTATTGGTAACGTTAAGCTTTTGTTATTCCTGCCATCGTTACCCTAAGTATTGACCAATTTGATAAGAATACTGGTCCGTACAGATATATGGAGAGACAGTAGGATCTGTTCCGCTACCATTTCTCACCCGAACACCATTTCTCACCCAGGTGGTAAATTGTGCAAACGTTGCTGAACAGGGTCATATTCCTAGCGCTTCATTTCGATATTTATGTCCCCCAAACGGATTGGGGGGACATATTGTGTTTACTCCGTTTCTATTTCTTATTATTATTGCAAGCTAATCAAAACATACTTTATAGAATATTGTCCTTTTCAGTAACAACAAGTTAATTTTATTTATTATAAAATATAGGCAGACAGGGTAATTCTTCCTTTGCCAGTTTTGTGATATTGCCATCTAGTAACCATATTATTATAATAAAGTAGGATGGAATTGAAGTGTTATTCGTTGTTGAAACATTTGCCGGCATATGTCACAGGGATCATTTTTCTGGCCAGTTTTAGCCTTAACGAAGCGGAGGCGTTTAAAGAATTACAGAACGTCCGCATTTAGGATTGCTAAGCTTTTTGCATATTTGGTCATCGCTTATGTGTGCTTACATTGCGGTGATAATTTCCTTTATTGCCTTGCCATATGTTTTTGTTAACAAAAATAAGATGGTTGTGATAATAAAGCAATCCTGGTAAAACGTTTTCATTAAAAGCCATTCTAGGCAAATACATATCTAATTATGGGGCTAGAACCAAGGGTGCACCCATGATTGTGTTTGTTTCTTTATGCCATGTTAGCACACGTGTTTGGTTGTATGGTTGCAGGAATATCAAATACATGTATTTCAATGTTATAAACCTGTACTAAGGTCTAAGGGGCGGGGCTGAACCTTGAAAGTACTTGTTGTAGCCTTAGTGTATCCATATCTTCATGACCAGCAATTACATAAATGGTTGGCTGTCTCTACCATTGCCATGC